ATAAATTGGAATCAATGAAAATATACATGGTATCTTGTTTATCTCTTTTCCATAATATATCGTTTATTATTAGTGTTCACGATACATCGTTCAATCCAGAGCCATAAATAGCATTTCATGCTTAAAAATTCGTGGGAATTAACGGCCGATAATTCATGATTATTTTTAATGGGAAAAGAATGAATGCTTGACTAAATCAAAAGTTAATATATGTACATATTGTAATTTAGTGTTCCTATGAAACTTGAAACGATATAGAAAAACTTTTGTTGAAGACACGATGGTTTGTTTTTACGCCTCTCAAGCGTACATATCAATCAATATTGTAACCTTTCTTCTCATCTCTCGATGGCCATCTTCAACTGCAAAATCCATCATTGGTATCCATCTACCAATGGAAGCAACGAAATGCCCATCTCCGCCCTTGCTGATATCAAAGGCTTGTAAAGGCACTGCCTCTATCTCCTCCCAAGAAGAAGCATGTATCCAAGCGCTAACCTCAAATCACCGTACGAACTCCGCATCGACTGCATTGGAGTTGGCTAAGGCCGCCCTGTCTCTGGCCGTGGAGAAGGCTGACCGCACAATGATTCTCATCGGTTCTCCGAAGAAGCCATGTTTCAAGAGTTGTGTAGAAAACTATAAGGGTTCTGTTCTTGAGGGGCTAAAGAAGGCAGAGTGGTCGATGGATAAAGGTGACATGGATGAGACCGATGATCAGCTTAGTCTCGCACGTGACGCCGCTGACTACTGCCATATGATTTTGTCGGTTGATCCAGACGATACAAGATCTCGAGTTTTTTCAGCCAACAAAGATGTGTATAATTATATTACATTTGCCATGAGTGTGGCGGACTTGTTGTAGAGCCAAATCTCGAACTTCCATTCAATTATACAAGATAATTTTGCGTAAGAAATCTTAGAAGAACATGTTTATTTTTAAAATAACTTTAAAAGAGAACGTTTTTTAATCGCTTTTGTTGTATGTTCCTGGTTGCCCCCCACCACCAGACACCGTTCTCATCACAAAGAAGGCCTGACAGCTTCCTTCGTAATAACTCTTAAAATTAATAATCCACCAAAACATATAAATATTTTTTTAGAGATATTAATTTAGGAGATGCATGAAATTAGTTTTAACTTTTTATTTTGTCACAATCGCACTTCAATACTAATTAAATAAATAAATTGTTTGTATCATCAAACCAATATGGAACAAAATTGCCAATAAAAAAAGTTAGAACGTTCTTTTCTTGTAGATCCACTTTCATATTCTTGTCATGTTGCCGAAAAACAAGATTAGAGTACAAAAACGATTCGCGTAAACATGCCAACTCGCTTAATTCTGGGAAAGACGAAGCAAAGCCTCAGGTTCGACACCATTTGAGTCAAATCCTTGGAATATGTCACAAAATGTACAAAATCGATTTTTCTGTTTTAAACAGGCCATGGTCCACACTTGTGCGCGTAGCTTCGTATGTAGGGGGAAATGTATCGGCAGCTGCCCTGAAGTTGTAAGAGATCCGTCGTATCATCCTGGAGCTGGAGAATCCATCCCACACCCCTCGTGTGGTCGTCCACTTTCCAAGATCCATCCTCAAAACATGTAAAGGTTGATGTAGTATATCCATGGTATTGTCCTCCTCTAGGGCTCTTGTTGTACTTCCTTCGACAATATTGGATAGAACCACGCCTCTAATTCTCTCCTGGCAACATCGATAATTAATGTCCAGGGGTGACCAATCAAGATTGTTGAAAAGTTTGTCTCTCGACGCTTTCATATATACCACATGATCGATCCATGGATATTCACGAGTAGGTTCAATAACAATGTCCAACTCTTTTTAGCAGGTAAACAAGTGAAGATGATTTATGGTCTCCTTCGAAGGCCCACATAAACAATCCACTCGCACATGTCTACGTGTCAACCGTTCATTAATAGCAAGAGTCTCGACAACCCTTGCTAGATGAAGTTGGGACTTTCCAAGAATACTCATTACAATTGTTGCAGTAAAAACCTTACCTCCTCAACGACCTTGAGAAATAAGAAGACCACAGAGAGAGCAAAATAAAGTATGGGAATTTAGAAACAAAATAAAAGATGAGTCAAATTGCTTTACTTCCTAATTCATTGCGCTATGTTGTTAGAAAAGAAGCGAGTCTCGTGAAGAATCAAATCCTAAAGCGTTTGGGTACCTCCCAATCTATATAATAAATCAGTTTTCTTGTTAAATCGCACAAACCGGAAACCCAAATTAACCTCTTTCTTCTCATCTCAGTCGCGTAATAAAAATGTCGTGGCTCTTCAAACCTCGCGGCGATGATCCCGAACCATCATCTCCCTCAGGACCTGATTTGTCTTCCCTCGGTCTAACCATCGGTCGACAGCTCCGTGGCGTTGCAGCTTTCCTTGCGCCGCCTCCTTCTCCGCCGCCTTCCGATCCCGTCAACGACCGCCTCTCCTCCGATTCACCTACTCAGCTTGCCCTACTCGGGATCCGGAATGATCTAGCCGAGATTGGTGGAAACTTCAAGTCTGGCATCTCCAATTTCGCATCCAATTTGCTTCAGTTTCCCAGTAACATCTACGAAGATAGTAGAATATCCGAGTTTGATCAAGTTCCTGGGATTTCTCAAGAAGTTGTGGATTTTGCCATTAAAATCTCCACTAGACCAGGTTGCTGGACAGATTTTCCATTGTCACTCAACACTGGTAATTTACCCATCTCCCTCCATAGAAACTGACCAGGTTGCTCGACAGATTGATTGGCTGTAGCTGCTCCTCTTCTTTAGAGGGATCTATCTCTAGGGAGTAACATTAGGCTTGATCGGTCTAATAGTCTCCTCTTGGGATATATTCTTCAAGCCATGACATTAATTACACAGAGCTTACATTTTTGTTTTCTTATTTCCAAAAGCACATCTTTACTCTGCACAGTCCACTACATATGCTTGGATATATTGTAGAATGACTTAGGGAAAAAAAGTTGGTGGTTCATATATATATATATATGGGAAATTTCTTTTGTCTTGTGTTTGTGCATTGCTTGTGAGCATTTGTATCTTAGGAGATGAATCTGCCAGTGGCCAGATATGATTTTTACGATACTTCTTTTTATGCTTCAGTCTTTGAGTCTTGGCTTGTTTTATTCTAGGCATTTTTAGAAAATATTGATTGTTTCTACAGTTGATTGGTTGGAGCTGCCCCTGTTCTTTAGAGGGGTCTCTAGGGATTAAGATTAGACTTCAAACCGGGATCTTAAATCTCTCAAGGATGTCAATACTGTCTGTAGGTAACAACGCATAAGCCTTTGTTTTTTTTTTAATTTCCAAAAGCATATCTTTAGTCTGTATGTAGGCTTGGTTAGCTTGGAAATATTTGTCGAATGACTTGAAGATTTTTTTTGGTGGTTTTTATCTATACTGCTACATAGGAATCATAATAAGTGACAATACTGAAGTTGTAAGCATTTGTTTAGTAGATTATTTATTTGCAAGTGGCCAGACATGATGGTTACAAAAGTGTGTTTTAATTTATGCTTTACTCTTTCACTGTTAGTGTGTTTAGTCTAGATGTTCTTGGAAAAGGTTGATTGTTTTAAAAGTTGATTGGTTGTACCTGCGCATGCTCTTTAGAGGAATCTCTAGTGTTTAAGATTAGGCTTTGACCAGTTTAATAGTCTCCTCTTGGGATATACTTCCTCAAGGTTCCCATGACTGTCTGTAGGTCACATTTCCGGATGCCAGTATTGTCAAATAGCTTAGATCTTTGTTCTTTATTTTCAAAAACATATATTCATTCTGCACGACTTAGTATATAGGCTTGGTTAGCATGTCAATACTGTCGAAGCACTGGTGGTTTATATCTATTTTATGTATTAATCACTTGTTCCAGACAATTGTGCGGCAAAATTATTGAGTGAATTATGCTGAAGTATTTTCTCCAACTTTTCATGTCAACATTGCAGAGTTTGAATTGTCTGAGGCCCAAAGGGCACATGCATCAGCCATTGAACATCTGGTTCCTGGCCTTGTAGCTGTGAAGAATGAAGTCAGGAGTTGCATGGATGATGAACACTTCTGGCTGATTTATTTTATTTTGCTGATGCCGAGACTGAATGGACATGATTTTGAGCTATTAGCAACTTGCAAGGTAAGACTTTTAACTGGACATGCATCCTGCTGAAATGTTAATATATCAACTCTTAAGCGTCTGAAGATGAAAAACCAGGTTAAGCTGTAATGACTCCTTCAACCAATGGCAGTAAGAATAAGTCAAGCCTTTGGAAAAGCAATAAACGTATTATGTTTGGCTCAATGCTTTTGACAATGCATAGTTCTTCTTTAGCTTTGCTCTGCATTTTTCCCTAGGTACTATGGTACCCATTTCTGAAACTTCTATAACTATATCGAGCGGCACAGGTAAATGAAACAAGGGATCAACTTTTACTAAAGCTGCAAAAGAAGGAGACAGCAGGGTCGAGCCCGAGCTCTGTTGGTCACGAAACTCCTGAAGAAGGTAGCAGCAATAGGGAAGCAGAAACTGTTGAGGGAGTCGTCGAAAAGATAGAGGGGCTGAAAATTGAGCAGAGAGAGATAAGCGATGAATCATCTGAAGAAAGAAGGAGGAGTTTTAGAGATGAAGAGGTTATCTCCTTCAGTGATTTAGATGTAGACGATCTCTCGGAGAAGCCATATTCCAACAGGAGTACACTGAAAAGGCGAGCATCAAACGCAAGCGGTTCAAGCGACTGGGTTCAGCTTAACAGGAGTCAAGGTGGACACAGCAAGGATTCGGAAGGTGATTCTAGTGACTGGCTTCCAATCGGCGACTCTGATTGACGTTTTAAGGTACAAATTGGATATTACTGTAAAGCTAAGTGTTAGCAATGACTTTTGAACAAAATGATGCACAATTTTATCAATAAAAATCTCACCATGTAATATGGAGAGGCTACTTAACGTTTAGAGTAAAATAGAGGAATGTTCTTCTATATATCGCCTTTACATATCTCTTCATTGGTCTGGGCAAAATTCGGATAACCATAATTCCAATTTGCATAAAGCAAATATTAAAAAAGTTAAGATTCGTTCAGAATTTAACGAAATTAGTCAAATGAAAAACATGTTTCTTTTCTATTTATGTATAAATATTTTGATATGTGTATGAATATGTGTGACAAAAAAAAA